GGGGGGGGGGAGTGACGGTGCAGCACCAGCATCATCATCATCAGCATGCACGAACACGCTCGACATCGCTCCCTCTCACTTTGTGCTCACCTCATGCCCTTTTGCTTCTCTGCAAGCACCTCTCCAATCGCATCCAAGTCCTCCTTGATCTCTTCATCTCCCCACTGCCTACCCTTGAGCGCCGCAACGAGATCGAGACCCTTTGCACCGAGCATCGCCTTGGCATTTTCTCCCTCTGCCTTGCTCAAAAGGTTCCTGAGCGTAGCCAACGTGATGCGCACCACTTTTTCCTTGTTCGCACCGCGCGCAACATCCACCAGCAGCGAAATGGTTCCTGTAAATTTGACATTGAGAGCGCTGGCAATGTCCTTTGCAAAGGTCAGCAACCACAAGCTGAAAATGACTTGGTAGGTTGTTTGAGCAGAGATGCTCGATGAAGAGGTGGATCCCGGCGTCGCACTGCCAGACTTTTCGCCCGAACCGACCAAAGTTGCTCGAAGGATGCTCGTCAGACCGCTAATGATGCCTGGAGTTTGATGGGGCGCGCCGCCGCCGTCGTCGTCGCTTGCGCTCGCGCTCGCGCTCGCGCTCGGTACCTCTCCCAGCCGCTCGACGTCCCGTGACCATACCTGCTGCCTCAGCGCACCATCCCTGAGCAGCGCCTGCAGCAGCTGGATAGCCACATCCGCTCCATTACCTTCTGCATATCCCGTGGTGGCGCTGGGCGGAGCGAGCACGCCGTTTCCTGCTCTGGAAGGGTGCAACGCTGCGGCGCCAGACGCACCACCGGTATTGATCAGAAGGGACAAGAAATCCAGCAAACGCTCGATGGCGTGTTGAGGAGGTTTGGTAGCGCTCGACTTGGAAGGCGAGAGCAGCAGCAGCGTGAGAATGTGAGCCGCCTTGAGCTGCACAAAGTCGTCTGTCACATCCAGCAGTCTGTCCAAAGCGCGGGGGGGGCGGTGCGTGGGACGCAGCAGTAAGTGAGCAAACGCACGCGCACACACGCACACACGCACACACGCACACACGCACACTCACTTGATGAGGGGCGCCCATGGCCACGCATGGCTCGCTTCGGCGGCTTCACCACCGGGCTCTTGGGGTGCAGGTACATGCTTGAACAGCTCGATCCTCTCGTCGTGATCCTTTAGCATATCGGTGACGAGGACGAGGACTTGCTGAATCGTATCCGTCCTTCCCAGCTTTGCTAGCAAGCGCAGGTACAATTGAGCATACGCGTTGCCTTGCTTCTCCATCGTCTCCTCCTTGATCGTGCTGGTGGAGGAAGTGGCATCGATGGATCTGATCATGCGCAGCTCTTCCGAAGATACGAGATCCGCGCGTTGATAGCCTTCCCATGGGATCGGCCTGGATCGAATGCGCGACGAGAGTGACAAGAGCCAGTCGTTGGTCAGATTGACGAGAGGCGGTGCTGGCTCGCGAGGTGCTGGTGCTGCTGCTGCTGCCGAGCTGCTCTTGCTGCTGTTGTCCTTGGCGCTGCTGGTCGCCGTGCCATTGGCAGCCGCGGCCGATGCGCTCGACATGATCGAGCGCGTGAGGGGTCGAAACTATATACGCGGACGGATGCTTTGTGCGAGGCGAGTATCAACAGAGTCGAGCAGATTCACTCTGGGATGCGTGGAGATGGTGGTACAGTATGTCTGGGCAACGCGCGCTGCCCCTAGCCGCGCGCAACGTGCTCCCCAGAGCGCACGCAGATCTACGGCGCCGGACGGGCGGGCGGGCAGGCGGGCAGGCGCTTCTGCTGATGGCGCTCGCTGCAGGTGACGCCGGCCGGCCTGCAGGGGCCATCCCTTGCGACGGTCACGTGTCGCGCAAGGCGCGCTTCAAGCTCGCCAATCGACCACCACCATCCACGATCGCGCTACCCCTGCTTGGACAAGATCAAGGTTGTGAAGCGTGACTCCCTTCATGCACACATGGCTCGTGTGCTCTCAGATGACCCACAACTCGTATCAAAGTTTGAGCGACTCGTGTGGACGCACTACTCGTATCTGACTCACTCAACAGTCGCGCTTTGAGGCATTGCGGGTAGGTGCTGAATCAGGCAACGCCCCTGCGCAGCTTATCTCCAAAGTCACTTGAGTTCAGCACATCCCAGCCGCCGGATGAGCACCGTTTCATAGATATCGATCGAAAGCAGCAGCGATGTGGATCGCGAAAGATGGCGGCGTGCGCAAACGTGAATAAAATGACGATGGTGTGATCGACGCCTCTAGCGCTCCAAGCATTGTGATTGAAGACTGGGCGGATCGATCGCATCGCCCGACTCTCGCGATGACAGGAGCGACAGTGACGGACGCTCTTGACCGCCTCAGCATCCACATCCCGAGAAGGCAGATCGCATTGCCCGACTCTCGCGATCACAGGAGCGACAGTGACGGACGCCCTTGGCCGCCTCATGTTTGAAGGCAGCATCAACGTGGATGGCGAAAAGAGCAGCGCGTGCGCGAATCTGGCTCAACAGTCATCAGTCTTTGCTGCGAAGCTCGTGTATGCGCTCGATCAAAAGGAGCACGCACGGTCATTTGCCATTGCACGCTCGTCGCTCTAGTTGCTGCTATCTCTCCTCATCGAAGAGGACGCAAGGCGCGCTCGAGACACAAACACGAATGTGGACGAGGGTCACCGACACGGTATCAGACTGCGAGCGGATCGCGTCAGCCGCCTTCATCCACGCTCACAACACCCATCGAGGTAATCTGCGAGTCAAGCACTGGAGAATCCGCGTCAAAGCTGATTCAGCGATAGAGTTCACGCGTGTTTGGAGATTACTGAACGACATGGCGGCCAACGCCTTTGCAGAGATTGCCCACGCCACGATAAGATGACTTATCCGAACGAGAGCTTCTAGTCTGCTATGCGTGCCGGCTAATGGTTGCGAAGAGAAGGCCGAGCCTCACATAGCATCTAGCTTGCCCACGATGGACACGCTGGACGACTTATAAAAGCGAGTCTCTTTGTCGCTCGCTTCTTCTCTACTCTCACCACAACAACTCGTCGAGCTGGTCTCGCACAAGCTTTCTTGCCTAGCCCACCTCATCACCAGCGCTCCAAGAACCTTGCAATGCAGAACAAAACCCTGCTGCTCGCTTTCGTCGGTCTGGCGCTCAGCCTACCGAACGCATCCTTTGCTCGACCTGCCGGTCTACAGCCCCGTGCGCCACCTGTCATCGAAACGCTCAGCGACCTTGTCCGAGGATCGAGATCCGGTCTGCGCCACCGCTTCACTCCCATGCGCTCCAGCGAGCCTGAAGAGATTCAGCTGGGAGAAGCGCGCCCTTTGCGTGGAGGATACGTGCCCGGCAGTGGTAAGCGTCGAATGAAAAAGCTGGCGCTCTACGGCACGTGAGTTTTCGCGAAGCATCCCATCCGACGTTGAAGACCGTCTCTCTGACGAGTGCTCCCTCTCGCACGCTAGCGGACTGGCCGTCGTTGGTACAGCCACTGGTGTAGGCGCCCATGAAATCGTTCAGCATGAGCGCGAGCAGAATCGTAAGCTTGCGGTGATGCGTGCTGATCTCGAAAAGCGTGAGTGACGTAAGGTCAGCATGGTGATGTCTAAGGAGCCGATGCCAACCAGAGGTGCTTGTTCATGCAGAGGCCGCAGCTTTGAGAGACTCGAAACGTAATCCATCGAGCGGCAATGAGGTAAATGCCTCGACGCAAGAGGTCAATCCGCAAGTGGCGCTACCAAACAGCAACGACACGTACTACGGAGCCCCTCGTCCGTATAGATCGGTGCCATCTCCTGGCGCAGGACACGGCGCGCCACCCAATCTGCCAGGCATGTCGTCGGCACAGGCAGGTCCCGATCAGTCCGTACCCTCGCCCGGAGCCGGGCATGGTGGACCACCAGGCCCGCTGGTCGTAAAGGATGAGGCGGTACAAGACGCTCTTCCCGATCAGTCCGTACCCTCGCCCGGAGCCGGGCATGGTGGACCACCAGGCCCGCTGGTCGTAAAGGATGAGGTCGTGCAAGACGCTTTTCCTGCTCAGTCGGTACCTTCGCCAGGGACTGGGAATGGCCTAGGCCCGCTAGCTGCAAAGGATGATCGTGAGGCTCTTCCCAGCGAGGCTGGACCTTCGCCAGGGACTGGGAATGGCAAACCCCCAGGCCCGCCGGTCGTGCAGGCCAAAGAAGGACAAGATGCAGAGACCATGGGTCGCAAGGGAGGCAGTCCGGGTAGCATTCCTGCTCCAGCGGCACAAAAGACTCCGAACCCACCTTAGCTTGCACGAGAGGACAAGTGAAGCGAGATGATGACACTTTTGACCCTTTAGAGGCCAGAC